ACCTCAGAGCGCTTGGGATATTAAATCTTAACACTGTGCTGGTATTGTGTGCAGTAAAGATACTTTGTACAGATTTCCACAGGATTTTAGTTGTCAGTTGTGCCTGTTTCCGAACCCAGTGTAGCTGTTGTCCGATAAGATATCTGGCTTCGGGCAGGGAGGAGGGGATGTACGGAAAGAGCGTGGCCTTGGCAGGAGCAGGAAGATGGCGTGGTACAGAGAGTTCGGTACTTCTCATTTGGGGTAATGACATCCATAACTCACCCTGGTATCATTCCCTTGGGCAGCTTAGAACTTCTTATGAAAAACTTTATTTCAGTTTGTTTTTAACAGTAAATCTCCGAATCCCTGCTGCCTCAGAAGCCATCTGCTGTTTGAAAACAGTTTTTCGTGAAGAAAACTCATGCTCCATTTTCATACCAATTTTTTGCACGTAAAAATAGCGATACGGGGTCTGAAACTCCATTTCCAAGCATTGTCCCCCCCCAAACCTCTCACAAAACAAGGGTCTAAGTGCACGGTAAAGAGAGGAGCAGCTCTGTTTGAGCCTAACAAGCCAAACCAAGCGCTACACCTCTGTGTGGGGAGCTCGGGGGCTGCAGCTATGACCTGCCTGGTTTGTGTTGCAGTTGTGAGAGGTGCCAGCACACTGCTGGAAACACACCTCTCTAACAGAGAGTAAATCAGAAGACTGAGGTTTGCATGTGCGGAGTGGAAGAACTCCTGCCTTGTGCCTTAATACTCAGTTGTGCACAAGTTGTATCCTTTGCTGATCCACTCAAACTGTGGAATTAGTCCTTTTTCTCAAGAGAACCACGATTAAAATAAAACGATTATTTTAATTAACTTTAAATTTGCACTTTCGTTTATTCTTGTATTTGTTAACCAAGCTTATACGAGACTGCCAAATTAGAAAGATATTGCTTACATATCTCATCACTCGAACTGTTCAAAGCACTGCATGAATTTGATCTCTTCACAAATATTAATCTGCCTTGGGGTTCTCCTGAGCACTCGTTCACGGAGCTAAAAATCTGTGTTTGCGTGCTGATGTTTGTTCCCGAGGGCTCATCTCCCTAGTGAGCATGTTTAAACAACTGAAGTGCTCTTACAATGAAACATTCAAATTCAAGCCTTTATTATTATGCAATCTGGGATTATTTTTTTTATCATTAGACTTCCTTCTGAACTGGGTGGTTGACACTCCCTGTTCCAAATTCCTGTCCCATGAGCTAGTTGTTTGGAAATACTGGCTAGAAGGACAAACACCATGCCTTTTTTTTTTTTTTTTTTTAATCTGGAGAAAGTGCTTTTTCACTAGGTATTTGGGATTAAACTGTAACCCGAAGGCAGGCCCCAGAAATAGGATAAAGATCAAAAGAAAAAGGAGATCATTACTTGGTAGATTGATACAGCTGGAAACAGTGGGCCTGATTCAAGGTGCTTTGGGAGTCAGAGGATTCTTGCACATGACTTAACTAGTTTCTGGATTAAACCTTGCATATGCCCCAGGAGAGGAATGTATACCTGCTCCAGCAGCATGCGTGCTCTGGAAAATAACATGAAAAGTTAGTCCATATTGTGACAAACTGAGGGTTCATACACAATTTGTTATTCAGAAAAAGATATTTCTGATTAACTCCATGTCTGACAATTTTAATGAAAAATTAGACTACTTTGACTTGACTCTCCAGTCAGATCAGTTTCCATACAGAATTTCGCTCCTTGATCCCTGTCCAAGAATGTATGTATCAGGGAATTTACACAGCCCTTTAAATTCACTTCCTGATGTGAATTAAACTAGCTTTCATGTGCAAAACCCCTTGAAAATTCCCTGTGTGTGAAGTAAAGATTTCTCCCGACTTTTTCACGCGTCCCGTGACCCTGTAATCTTCTCCCTCAGAGCCCTCCTACAGGACAGTCCCTCCCTGCGGGGGGAGAGCTGGTTGGAAGAGCATCCCCTTCGCCTGGGGGGACAGACGGCACCGCGCCGTGCTCCTCCCGCGCCAGCGGAACGCTCGGGCTCTCTCGGCTGCACAAGGAGAGTGCCAGGGTTTACTCGTTTTTCTTGGGGAGTACTCATTTTGTTTTTCAAGCAGGTTAGCGTTTAAAATACCGTAGCCACTTGAAAAGCCGGCAGATCCTTCAGCTTGCCCTGTCGCAAGTTGCCAGGTTCTTGAAAGCGCCCGGAGAAAAACTGACGCGCCGAACCCCTTCCGCTGCTGCGCGTCAGCCGTTCGGGGGGCTCAGCCGGCTACAGCATTGAGAGCGCAGCTGCCTCCGACGGCGGCGGCGGCCGGAGCGTTGTTTTGTTGTCGTTTCTGCAGAGGAGCGGCGGGAGCTTACATCATTTCCAGTAATGAAGTGCCTGGGGTTCTTTTATGACTTGCACACTCCGCTTCTCCGGAGCTGTACAGTATGTGCTGCGTGACTCCAGGAAACTGAGGATTTGTTTTGACTTGCTAAAAGAACGTTTGCCGTTTCTCTTTACAATTTCACCGTATGACTTGTCAATTCTCTCCCCTTCTTAAGAATAACTTCAGATTTAATTAGCTGAGTGCAAACATCTTTCATTGCAGTGTGGATTAGACTCCTCATTGAGTACATTTACCAACAGAATGAAAGACGTCTTAATCAGGCGATTCTGTATTTGTACTGCTGTGTCCAGAGTGCCCGGTAGCTGTTAATAAACAGTTGCTATTGACTCTCATTCTAGCAGGGGATGACTATTGATGTGGGGACCAGTCCTGTTAAGGCTTACTTTTTATTTTCAAAGCTCTCTCTCCTACTTAAAAGCACTTTTCATGTTTGTTTCATTACCATTTCCCTATCTGCTATGTAGGAAAAATGATACTTACATGCCACGCTGGGATGTCCTGAAGGTGCTGGCATCTCCTCAGGAGTTCCACGGTGACCTTGCCTAGCATACTTTAAATGGTGCAGTTTATACTTCACTGAACTGCAAAGTAGCATTGCACTCTATTAGACAAGTTGGGCACCAGCTTTCCAAAGCGTTACCTGGATATACGCACGTGTATGTGCGTTGAATTCTTCAGGGGTGAATTTCAGTTTGCATTTCCACCACTCAGAGAACATTCTCCAGACCATTAATAACCCAGGCCATTTCTGGGACATCATCACCCAAGCAGCAGACCCCACAGCTCTCTTTAAGTCCCTGAGGAAATGTTTGTGCTGCAGCAACAGCAACCGATTTACCTGAACATGCACAGTCGCAACAAATGCTTTTTGGCAGCATCAAAACCCATGAAGAACAGCACAAAATTCACAATCCCCTTTGTAAAATTTTCATCCTTTCTGTTCATTCCAGATATTGGTTTTGTCATCAGAACTTTAAAAAACACCTTGAACACCTATCAACTATTCACTTCCCCAGAGTTAAAATTTGACAAGTTCATTTTTAGCCATCTCTTCTCTCAAAGATGTTGTGGTTTCTGTTTAATTCTTCAGAAGTGAATCATAGTTTCAAAACCCTCACTACCTTAGTGAAACACTCTTTTTCCGTTAGCATTCAACGTGTTTAACATGGGTTCAGACATGTTACCAGAAACTTATACTAAGAGTCCTCAAAAAAAACTCGTGTGATTTCATGCCCTGGAAACACCTTTTACGCTATAACTATTCCTACAGCTATCAGGAGATATGAGGCATATGGATCTGAGCTAGTCAAATTAATACCATAATGGCTTCTGGCTCAACAAGCACGTACAGCGCAAACAGAGAGCAGAACAGCTGTAGTAGAGTTACCTTTCATGTGGGTGGCATAGACGTCTGCCAATTAAAATGATCTCATGAATCATTTCTTGCCATATGATTACTGTTAATAAGAATTTATGTTAACATGTTTGTGTCTGAACTTTGCACAGGTTCATGCCTGCATTTATTTTCTTAAAAAATAGAGCATATCATGATTGTTTTTTGTTCTTAAGGGACTTACTTTCCTCATTTGAAAGCATTCCAGGACTTCAGAGCTGCCAACTATCCCTTAAAGGAAGATGTTTTTTTCTCCATGTAGTGCTTTCTGCATGTAATTCTGTATACACAGGCCAATAGTTTTTAACCTGGGAACCTCAAGCTAAGCTTCTAAATACATATAGCAGCACTTACAAAGAGAGCATGGCCTTCAAAATATGAAAAAAGGAGTCCTCATAAACTTTTATTAAAACCTCTGGTGTTGCAAACATTTATCCTTATGCTTTCCTTCAAGCAGTCCCACCAGCTGACAGGCTTTAGCCATTGACTTCATTACACTAACTCCCTGTGTCTAAAATCAAGCATTTTTTCCCAGAACTGATAGGTTATATTTATGATGAGAAATTTAGGCATAGCAAAATGTTGTTTTAAATATGTCCTCAGCAGCTTACAAAGCATTTCGAAGTATTTGAGAAATCTGTGCAATAAGTGAGATATTTTATAGCAAGAAATACACAAGTCCAAGCATGGTGGGTGTTAACAGACTTTGACCTAGGATGGTTTGGGGATCTTTCTCTGATCAGAAAAATGTAGTTTCAAATTCTACATAATCTTGGTAAATACAGTAGGACAGGGCAGAGAGACAGAAAACAACGGCAATAAAACTGCATGAAGTACAGTTTAGCTAGGGTAAGTGGTTGGAGACTCATCATCCTTGTGAATCTTGTTTGGTAGCCATGAACAGAACAAAAGTTTTGATGGAAGGATTTGTTCCCATGGGTCATAGAACTGTTAGTAGAAAATATACTGGAGAAAACCCTAAAAAGACTGAGGAGAAACATGGCAAATAGGTAATTTCCTTCCCTCTACTGGCAATTCTGCCACTCACGTTAGTAGCAAGAGGACACTGATAAGCGAGGTATTTCCATGGCACTTCTTACATTGGAGCTTTTGGGGGCTCTTTGGCTAACAGTGTCCTCCTTACATCTGCTCTGTCCACGCTCACTGATGCTTTGAGATAATATTTGCATCCATTTTCCCTGCAGCGTCAATAAATCAAGAACTCTCATATGTTTTTTCCAGTGTCATCCTGCATCACCACCTATAAGAAGACACCGCCTCCAGTCCCACCAAGAACTACCACCAAACCCTTCATTTCCATCACAGCCCAGAGCAGCACAGAGTCTGCCCAAGATGCATATATGGATGGACATGGACAGAGGGGAGATATCATCAGTCAGTCTGGACTTAGCAACTCCACAGAGAGCTTGGACAGTATGAAGGCGCTAACAGCTGCTATTGAAGCTGCCAATGCGCAGATCCATGGCCCTGCAAGTCAACATGTAGGGAACAATACTGCCACCGTCACCACCACCACAACCATTGCCACCGTTGCAGTAGAAGATAGAAAGAAGGACCACTTCAAGAAAAACAGATGCTTATCTATTGGAATACAGGTACAGTACAGGACATGGGTTATATGCCTGCCACTGTTTTCAATTTCTACATCTGTTTTATTGCTCATTATGCAGTGTTTTGTGTGTTTTTCTTCTTTTCCCGACAGGTACCTATGTAGAAATTGCAGCAGCATAATCATTCTGCATGGTATTAATGATGTTTTCCTAATTTATCATAAAAACATCAGATGCAAGGATTTGTTTAAGTCTCCTTGCTGCTTGTTATTCAGCTCTGTTAAATTACACACATGAGCACTAATCTATGAATCATAACACAGTGGGGGTCAGAAAGGCATGAATTAAATCATTGAAAGGGAATGTGTAAAACAATGATTTACATTACACTATCACCCAAAAAATATTTTCATCCAGCCTCACTGAATTGTCAGTGCTTATTCATGCATTTCATAATGACTGGTAGCCGCTTGAATGAGGCAGCATTGTTCCTATTTCAGCCTCAAGAGCAGAGGGTAAGTTCCTTCTGATTTGCCCTTGTTAAAGAAAATCACATTTTGTTACCTCTAGTGGAATGAAAGAAGAAAACTAACCCTGCCAAAGTTTATTCCTATTTACAGAAAGGAGAAGAGCAAATAAATTAGACCAATGTAATCTGCGTTCTTAATTAATCTTTCCCATACACCCCCGCCCCCCCAAAAAAAAAAAAAAAAAAAGAATGTGCCCAGGACTCCAACTATCTGCTTGCAGGATTAGCTTTTGCAGCAAAGTACTTGAACTTACAATCAGTTGAGAATCAACACAGGTTTTGATGGGAGATGAATCCCAAGCAAATAGAATAGCAATCCGCAGTTTATCAGCCTTCACAAGAAGACATGGGGGTTTTTTCTTGCAGATGGAGGTTGTAAGCACAGCACTATGTGCCTGGACAGGCTTATCTGATTAGCAAAGCCTAAGAATTTACCGTGAAATCTCTGCATCAGCCTGATGAGATGAGAGGTGCTGTGCAGAAGTATGCCATCCCAGGGGCAGCTCCAGGAGAAGCTGTGACTTTTCTCTTACTTCTTCTTGGAAGGGCAATAATTACTCTTGCCTGTGGGTTCAGTTCACTGCCTTTGTTGTAGCCTTTTTCTGCTTCACAGCCGTTTGTTTTGGGTATATTCTGAAAGGAGGGCTGATATTCAGTGTTAAACACAGGAGCAAGATCCAGCTGGGACAGGGATAGAGGAAAGCTCTTCTGTTACTTATTCCCATTCCCAGCCAAGCCTAAGGTGCCATTTTGTTGTTGTAGTCACTCATTTCACTGAGCAAAGCAACAAAGACTCCTTAGCAGGCAAACACCCTGCAAAATAATGGGTAGAAAGAAGTACTTTCCACCGTTGCAAAAGCCAAAATGAACAACAGTAATGTGAATCATGGCTCTTGACACACCATCTCCCTTCTGTCTCTTCAAGTAGCATTGCTGCAGGCAACAAATGCTACTTTTGAGAGCTATAGGGGCATCAGTTTCCTCAGATCCAAGGAAAAGAGAGCCCCAAATGCTGTTCAAGCCTTTGACAATGTCCCTCTAAAACTTTGAAATTTACAGATGGCCAACATAATCGTATGTGAAAGCTGCCTGAGGATGGTATGTGAGGGGCTGCCAGGGCAGTTTTTGTGTGCAAACCAATGGAGATGCCTAAAGCTGGGATTACATGAAGTGAAACCTTCAGCAGTGATACAGCCTTACAGGACTCCTGCCCATGCACCCTGCCACCCTCCCCGTTGTGCCCATCAATGAGATTTCTAGAGTCAGACAGGCTTCACAAATAAAAGAAAACTACTTTGCTAGTCTGCTGTGTGGTCCATTTTGCAGCATCACTGCACAAGCAGTTGTGCTGGTACGGCTGAAGGGGTAGTGTGGGAGTGAAAATACCATAAGATAGCTGTTGCTGCCAGAAATGACTCCTCTTAGAAACAATTGCCCTAAATTAGATAGGTATGCTGCCAGCCCTCTGACTGGCAGTATGGAGTCAGTCTCTCTCCACTGACTGTAAAGACAGCCTAGTTTAGTGCTTGGACTGAACTCATACCAGGTATACACCTTAATTATAGTTTGACCTATCTCTGTAGAGCAGGGCGAGCTGCATTAGCCAGAGGCATATTCTGGGTTTGCTTCCTCCTCTAACAAATAAACCTGATGTGCACTTGTCGTAAACCTCCGTGCGTGTCCTCTGCACCCCTCGGTCACTCTTAGGACACCACACGCTTTTGCTGTAAATCTGTTTAGCAAACAAGCAAAGTAAAGCAAAGAAAAACCCGTCCATCAAAAGGTTGCTCCTCTTTGTCAGTTACGGCATTTAAGGCGCAGTTATCTCCCCAAAAGCCTCAGTATCAGGTAAGTACTTTAACACACTGAATAGCCCTGTAATTTCCATCCCTCCTTGAGCACTTTTCCTGCATAGGCTGTTCAACTGGCTCTCAACAACAAGCTTATTTACTGGTGGAACAGATACTAACTACAGCTGGAGTTTCTTTACACCCAGGCTCAGAGTGGATCCACAGATCACTTCGTAAAACTACTGTAGTCCAAAAATTCTGTGTGCCAGAATTTTTTTTCCTTGTATAACTAACAATGTCACACACAGAGCATTGGTAACTAACAACTACACTGATTGTACCCAGAAGTTTGTGATTTTGCTCAAAGACTCGCCTGTGGTTAAATTTTAACTTTATACCACTGGTATAAATCTCACAGACATGGAGAGGTGGTATAAAGTTCCTGTCTGTACTCCTCGCGACCACCGGTTTGCATGATGAAGCAGTAAAGAAAATGCAACAAAAGCTGCATGTGCTTTCTTTAAATCTTATCTGTGCAGTGCTCTGATTCGGGACACTAACATTTAAACAAAGTAAACACATAATTTTGACGTGAGTTCACATACACATGCACATACAGACTACGGTGGAGCACAGTAAGTGAAGTTACAGCTGTTCAGAGATTTGCTCTGGCAAAAGTGAGCATCCAGCCTCCATAAAATACTGGATAAACTCCATCCACGTTTTGCAGGCTGAATGTTGTCTTACCAGAAATGCTTTATAGACTAACAAGAATGATGAATATTCACTAATAATGTCAGAAATGGGCACACCACAGATAAGCTATCGGACTAGATGAAGGTACTTACGGTACAAGCTATATGTGCAGACACTTCGTAGTTATCATGCATAGAAATTGTAAGAAGCTGGGCGATATGTCTGCTAAAATACGTTTTAATTAGCTAGTGTTTTATTTTTAAGGTTGATGGTGCTGAAGAATCTGCCAAATCAGGTGAAAATAAAGCAACCAGTAAGTTCCAGTCCATAGGAGTTCAAGTAGAGGAAGAGAAGTGGTGAGTAAAAGTTAATACTGTTTTTCTAAAGTAAATAATTATGCTGCAACTAAGTTTTAAGAGCCCTATTTCCTGCACGCATGACTATATAAGTCTGCTTCCAGGATGAATTGTTAGATCACCCAACTGAAAAGCTGAGTCTTATAAATGCTGTAGCTCTTATTTCTTAGAGGGAATTTTTCAGGGCCAGTGGGAGAACTGGAAGAAAAGCGCCACATATTTTGAAGGTCAATATACTTTTAATAAGCTCTTTTTCCCCAGAAAATCTACCTAAACAGCAGAAGGTGATGCAGCTGGAGTATTAGTCTCGGGATGGCTGCAGCAGCATAGAGCTGATGGGAAAGTTTACCTTGTTTTTCAGCAGAATAATTTCAGCCACATGGAGCAGTGCAGTGGCAGAGCCAAACTGATTGCCTTTGCTCAGGTATCTCACCCAGACACCTCTGCATTACAACTGCTCCCTTGCAAAAAATTCTTGAGATTAAAAAGCGAGCCTGTAAAACTCAGTTCTCTCTCCAGTCCGCAGTGTAACCTGAATTAGCAAACAAAAATCTAGAATAATTGTTGTCTTTAACGTTTCTTTTTGGTGACAAATTGCAGTACAGTTGCAAGGGAGCATAACTATGCATAGCACTTTCCAGACACGCAGTTTCTGAGTGCTTGACCACAACTGCAAATCTTAATCCCTGCCCAAATCCCGGACCCAGTGGCTGAAGAAAAGCCGCGCTCTCCCCTCCGAGCGTGCAGGGCTGCCCAGCGCTGCTCTAGCTGCATGCACCCACCCAAGGCTTGGCTCGTTCTTCCCAAGCCGCTTGGGCACAGCCTAACTTCGGGATCCTGGAGCCATTTTGTTGATAACTCGCTATACCGTACCGCCGGAGAAGCCTCGGGGCACTGTCGCTGTCGGTCAGGGAAGAGTCGCCCTTGCAACCTCTCCAGAGAAAACCCGGGTGCAGCAAATCTGAGCCGACAAAATTAGGGTCCTCTGGCCTGCCGACTGCAGTAGCAAGTAGAGGAGATGTTCATTTTCACACCATTTTTTTCCTCCGTCTGCTAAAAATACTCAAACACGTTAGCTACACCATTTTCAACTCAACAAAATCTCCCCGTAAGGTAGCAGAGTATTTTCCTGTGGTTTTAAAAGGCTAAAGTGATTTCAGCAAAAAGAAATGTGATTTTGCAATGACCCTGCTAGGCTGTTACCAAGTTCCTCATTAACCTGCTAAAACATCTCTTGCTGGCAGACATTTCTTTATGTGTTAGACCTTAGCCCCATTTACCCACAACTCCTCCAGCACTAGATAAATGAGCACATTAGAATAGATGCTGAAGGACCGTTTCCCTTCAGCCTGAGCACAAAGGAGATAACTACCCCAAAAGCCCAACCCTCCGCCTCCCCTCAAAAAAAAAAAAAAAGACAACAAAAAAAAACCACAAAGAAAGAAGTGGCTGTTTGTAAATACCTTACTTCCAAAGCCCTCTTTCTATTGCAGTTTTTATTGCTCCGGAGAAAAAGGTAAGATTTGCCTGTGAGAGTCTGCCCTAAGAAAGCAATATTTCTGCATTACCTACTGACAGCTGTGTTTGGGGGTTTCCTTGCTGATAAAGTTGAGGTTGCTGCTGTTTGGAGCAGACCGGCAAGCAGCAATCTATCATGGACTCTCAGAAGTGAACTGGCTGATAAAAGACAGCCCTTAATCCTTAGAAAATGAGTGCACTCAAGGCACAAAGGGCTTATCATCACTGTTTGGCACTCATATTCTTTTTTTTTTTTTTTTTAAGACAGTGGAGCACAATGTATTGATTATCTGTTACAGGAATAGAATTGTAAATACAGTGCATTCTTCCCTGCCCCTGCACTGTAACATCTGCAGAGCCTCAGAAAAGCCCTTTTGAGTTGAATCTTTGTCAAATGAATGTTTTAAAAAATCTTCCAGGCTTCAGCAATATTAAATAAATATAAAATAAGAGAAGACTGACACAGCAAAGAGGATAAATACTGTAAATTGATCATGTTTCCTTGCCAGTCTAAGCTATTAAGTGCACTGTTATAAAACAAGAAAACTCTTTGCTTAATGCACCAAAAGCCCACCATACAAAATTTGTTTCACTCCTTTCCTTTGTTTTCTGCTCTTTCCTCCCCCTTTCCTTCATCTCATATGACTGCCATTCTCACATGAAGGAGTCTTACCTCATCACGTCCTTTTAAATATTCCTGCTTCTGTGCTTGGACTAAGTAAGCAAAAGATTTTGGCTCTGTTTCTTGATCTAAGCTCAAAAACAGAGCATCTTCTTCAGAGGACAGCTCTATCTCTTCTATCTTCCATCTCAACTCAGACCTTTCATTAGCCCTTCGCTCTCTGTAACCTGGGCTTCCTGCCAAGACAAATGACTGAGTCTTCCTCCTCCTCCTCCTCTTGTAATGCTCAAAGGATAAATGTGCCTACCACTACCTGACCATATTACAACTGGATACATCACCGCTATTCATCTTATCCTCAGTTCTTTACGCTGCCTGCTCTCAATAATCTTTTTTGTACCCATTCCCTAAGTGCAGCTCTACAATTTCTAGCATTTATAGAGTACCTCTGTCCAATCCTTCTTGTAGAAAAAAACTGGTATGCATGTCTTTCAACCTCATGATCTTCCTGCTGTTACTCTCTTATCTCTCACCCGATCTCCCCCATGATGCTAACAAAACCCCAACCAAAATGTTCCTCCCCTTTCCTCACATGACCCACCCCTTCCAGGGTAGTTTTGAAATGTGTGTCTGATGAAGCTAATCAGTGCAATCTCAGGGCATTCCCGTTTCTGTCCATTTCTGTTCCTCCTTTCTCTGTACCTGCGACTTCTTGACCTCAAGGGACCACCTTCCATTCCTCACTTACAGAAGATAATTGAGTTGTTGGAAGTCAACCAGTTCTACTGAACCAGAAAATAAGAAGTCATGTATTGTGCCAGGCCAGTTAGCACACATCCTTATTGAACAAGGGGCTCTGAGTCCCATAGCTCTGTAATCACTTTTACTCTCTCTTGGATTTTACCTTGTCTGCCCCAAGATCTCTTCCCGTTACATCTTCACTCCCAAAATTGTCTTGCTTATTGCTCTAGTCATACCATCAGCTGGAACTTGTACTTGGTTTGCCATCACAAGAATTTATGAATGCTGAAACAAGGTAGTTTCTGAAGTAAGATCACTGCCATGGGAGACTAAGACCATAGACAGATGGTCCTCCTCCATTTTATCTGGCTTCTGTGGTGACAGGGAAGGTGCCCCCATCTCTTGGTTTACCATAGCATACCACTTGGTCTGGTATAAACTGAAATGATTTGAAATGGTGGTGGGGTAACATAAGAAAAACAACCAAAAAAACCCTCTTCTGTCTCTTTAAGGAAGAAAAAACCCCTCATCTTTGGCTTTCATCACTATATAAAGATATACTATTCTCATTTTTTGCCTTTAGAATTTTGGGCTTGGTCACTTACTATCCTGACAAAAATACTCAGGATTTTAGGGTTTTCCCTTTAGAGAAGGCCAGTCCTACACTCTAACTCAAATGTCTCAACTCTCCAGTCTTTAGGACAGGACCTTCAAATCTGTATTTTGGCTAAGCTGAGTTGGGACTGATACTTTCTTGGCTTTTGTCTGCAGCATTTTCTGGCTATCTGTGTTCTCCACAGCAGAACCCATTGTATTGAGAAATTCTGAAGGTGGTAGATGCCCCATCCCTGGAAACATTTAAGGTCAGGGTGGATGGGGCTCTGAGCAACATGATCTAGTTGAAGATGTCCCTGCTCACTGCAGGGGCATTGGACTAGATGGCCTTTAAAGATCCCTTCCAACCCAAACCATTCTATGATTCTAACCTGGCTGCAAGTGACTGAGCTGGTATTCAGAAGAAGAGAGAGGCAGTTTCAAAAACAAGGCTTAATAATATTGCTTGTTTAAAGCTAAGGACCCTGACCTGGTCTTATGTGCTAGGCCTCGACAAAGTGTTGGCCCCTCTTGTTCCAGCTATGCCCCCCAGTGCTGCCCAGAAAGGGCCACAAGACGAAGGTTGGAGCAGGTTTATTTGAGGATGAGAGATCTCAGGAATGCTTTGATCTTCTGCAAACTCTGCTGGTGAGAAACATGCCCAGCCGAGGGTGTGTCTGGGCTGAGGATGGTCTCTGTAGGGTGACCTCCTCCCTGCACTGCTGCAATACTGGCACACCGGAAAGGGCAGGGTAGATAGCCAGTGGATATCTGGGGGGCAGTGCAGGACGGAAAGGAAGAGCCCAAGTGGTACTTGAAGCTCCACCATGTTTCACGGGCTCAGTTCTAGGGCCAGTCCTGTTCAATATATTTATCAAAGATCTGGATGCAGTAAGTCTGCTGATAATACCAAACTGGGAGCTGCTGTTGACTCTCTTGAGGGACAGGAGGCCTTGCAGAGGTTAGAGCATTGGGCAACAATTAATGGGATGAAGTTTAACAAGTCCAATTGCCAGATTCTGGATGGAGTAACGCCAGGCACAAGTATAGATTGGGAGAGGAGCGGCTGGAAAGCAGCCCTGCAGAAAGGGATCTGGGGGTGCTGGTCGGCAGCAGGCTCAATCAGAGCCAGCAGTGTGCCCTGGCAGCCAAGAGGGCAAGCGACGTCCTGGGATGCATCAAACACGGTGCAACTGTAACCAAAGTAGTAGGGAATTAAAATAAATTAGGGTTAGAAAATAGGTTTGTGAATTTGTAGCGTTTATTCCCGATTTCGGTGACACAACCAGCCGGTCAAGAGAGGGGATTATCCTACCATATGCAGCATCGGTGCGGCATCACCTCGAGTTCTGCATGCAGTGCTGGGCCCCACCATTTAAGAAGGGTGTGAAGGTCCTTGAATGTGTCCAGAGGGCAACAGAGCTGGTGAAAGGGCTGGAAGGCATCTGCTATGAGGAGCGGCTAAGGACTTTGGGCGGCTCAGGGGCGACCTCATTGCTCTCTACAGCTTCCTGAGGAGAGGACTTGGCGAGGGAGATGCTGATCCCTTCTCCCTGGGATCCAGTGACAGGACACGTGGGAATGGTTCAAAGCTGCACCAGGGGAGGTTTGGACTGGACATGAGGAAGCATTTCTTTACCAACAGGGTGGTAAAACACTGGAACAGGCTTCCTAGAGAGGTAGTCGATGCCCAAAGCCTGTCAATGTTTAAGAGATATTTGGACAATGCCCTTAAGAACGGGCTTTAACTTTTGGTCAGCCCTGAAGTGCCAGGCAGTTGGACTAGGTGATAGCTGTAGGTCCCTTCCAACTGAAATAGTCTATTCTAACATTGCCATAAAGGATTCCTGCTAAGACTTTTAGTGATTAAAAAAAGACTATGTGAATGAAAGAATGGGGGGGATAGAGCAAAGCACACAAGAATGTGTAGCTTAAAGATGTATGGCCGAAGATCCTGCTATTAGAAGGCATGATACCGTGATGGCTAACTCCTCCTGCAGTTTGTTTTGTTCTGCTGACAGTGGCTGCAACCTTAAGCAGAGAAACCCACAACTGGGGAAGAGTATAGTGTAGCCAATGGGTAAAGTGAGGCAGGCTAAATTTAATGTAAGTGCCTCTGAGACTCACCATGCATCAGTTGGTTTGAAACCTAGATCTCTTCTGGGTTTGGGTTTTTTTTTTTTAGGAAAGAAAGAAGTTCTCTGAGCTGAAATGTAAACCTGTTTTTCAAGAGAAAGCAAAAGACGACTTAGGAGCAGAGAGTTGAATGCTAACAAGTGACCCTGTTGTTGCTGTTCAAAACACATCGTGCTGTTGTTCTCCATACTGGTTTATCCAGTCTGAGGTTTCATGGCTTTCTGCACCTTAGGCCAGATATCTGCTGCAGTTCTCTGAAGCTGTAATTATTACACCTTGTGCCTGCAGGGCACCACTGACTACAAAAGGGCCAAGCCTGAAAGCAGAGGAAGAAGCAAATCTCTGTTTTTAACGATTACCAGCAATTTATGAACACTTTTTTTTTTTTTTTAGGTAGACCTGTGAATTCTTTGTATGTGTAGAAATAGAAATAGTGAAAACTTAGGCACCAGCTTCAGCTGTGGTATGGAGTTTTAACTGACTGCAAAACAAAAGAGATTCATGTGGGACACAAATGGTATTTTGTAAGAGTAAAACATCCTGGAAGTGAATGAGGAAGCTATGTCAGAGACTAAAATTACCATCTATTAGGCATTTTACATGGATGTGCTGGAGGCAGGCAGATAGTGGGTGTCTTCCTGCATATCCATTTCATTCAACGTACATTTCCTTGGGAGCATTTTTTTAATTTTGAACTGATGCTATGTTCTGTTACCAAGTTGTTTTTCTTTTGAACACAGATAGATTACACAATCCAGTGCCAAGAATCTGTCAAGCAAGTCTGTAGCATACTATTATATAGATAAAACAAAGGCAAAAAAAGTAGGTCATTCTATTTTATTTGTTGAGCAGAGTCTGGTTTTGGTGGTACTGGCTTATATTGAACCCAGTAAAAGTACACTCCTGAAAACTTTGAAATGTAGTGCCTCCAGCAATACATCCTCTTGGCAAGTAGACCTAGATGTTTTCACATTTGGGATTTGGAGTACACTGAAAAGCCAGGGTGTTAACTGAAAATACAAATGGTCATCTGAAACAGAAGGATATCAGTGTCTAGGGCACTGGGGAAAGCAGAAGGCAGCTGTGATGTGGATGAAGGGGTATGGAGAAGAATGAGCCTGGGATTAAGGCATTTGCTCTTCTCTCCAGTACCGTGGATGGTGTGGAAGACTACACTGTGTACTAATTCCTTGGCTCTCAGTGAACCCTGACTAAATGACTGAAAAGGAGAGCTCTGTGGGCTTTGTTTGGTGGGGTTTTTGTGTGTGTGTGTGTATGCATGCACGCGCTTCAGTGCAGATAAGGGATTTATCAGGTTGGTGGCCAAATTACAGCAAATTTTTTAAAAACTAGCATAGATTGAACCAAAAGATTTTCATTGTAATGTTAGCCGAAAGCTAAAGTCTTTCTAACTACTAATAGCAGTCTAACAGCTTTTCTCTGCCAGTGGCCAGTAGCAGATACTAAGGAAAAGTATAAAGAACTGTGTACAAAGGAAAAGTATAAAGGGTATGTAGAAAGCACTACTTCTCCCAGTAGACCTTCCCAATTTAGCAGTCCGTTGTTCAGGGACTTCCTAAGCCAGATATGACATCTGTGTAATAGCTCTTCCCGGACCTATCTCCTGTGAATTTGACCAGGTTCTCTTTGAACCTATTTTTACCTTTGGTTTTCCCAGGATTCTGTGGCAATTTAATTACATATTGTGTGAAGAATACATCCTTTTGCTAGATGTAAATCTTTAGACCTCTAAGCCTTGCAACTGGCTGCCTTCCTCCCCACAGTTCTTGCACTCTGAGAAATGGTGAAACATCACCTAGTCAGGATTTCATAGGTCTCTCATATCCCTCCTCATCCATCTGTTTTCTAAACCAAGAAATATCTTTCCTCCTATGGAAGCCATACCATATCTCCAGTGATCCTTGTCCTCTCTTTTGAACTTTTTCTGCTATATCAGTCTATAGCAAAATGCTTTTCTCTGCTTGTCAGAGGGTAAATACTACCGAGCTGAAGAGTTCTGCTCGCTCCATATTTTTCAGTTTGTTGGTGCATATCATGCAAATCTACACTGGCATAACCGTGACTTTTGCATAGCTTAACAACACCTGTTTCAAAAGAACCACGAGCAGCAAGCACTACATTAAAATATTTGTATTCTAGGCCATTATAAAAAAATATGTACACAACCTATTATTAACTTTTTCCAGGGATTGGTGTGACTGAGATGTTAATTTGAGATTTCTTCTGCAGAGGAATTGACCCTTTTTTTTTTTTCAATTGGAGAACCCTTCTCAACTCCTGTTTTGCTTTGCTCTACTCCTCTCAAAGCCCCAGATCAACAGCCACTAATTTCCTCTATCAGCAGGACCTGGTACAGTCCTCCTTGAAGTCTGCTGCACTCCTCCTGGGGTATCTGGATGCATCAGGTATATAGGACATGAAATTCTCCCTCAGCATCCTTCCATCTGCTCCCTCCCCAGCTGCAGACTAAATACACTTGACAACGTTTTGCTGTCAGTTGGCCTTGTCTAATCGGCTATTGCTTTTCAGTGGAAGGTAGAATATAAATGAAAGGGAGTGAAACAGTGCCCAGCATCCAGCTCCACTGTCCCCTCAGCATTTCCATTGACGCTTGAGCTCAAACTGAAAATAGAACTGGTCAAGGCAAGGCAGACAAAATATCACAGGGAAATGGATCCTAACACTGGTTTCAAAAGTAAATGTCAGATTGTGAGCAAATTAGAAGTGAACTAGCACCTGCATGAGTGCACAGGCATCCTGGGTTAGTAAGAAGAAGGGGTGAGAATCTGTCTCTATTCAGTTCAATACTACATTGATTCTGAAGCCTAAATATTGCTAATTTAAGTAACATCTACGTTAATTACTTTATGGTTCTACCTTCTTTATCATCATGGGGCAAGACAGACGTCTACTTCGCTTGTTTTCCTGTGTTCCTCAGTGAATCAGTTTCTAGAGTTGCCCTGACTCTCTGTAATTATTTGCCTGCAGATTTTCTACTCATTCCCTCCACAATGTACTGCTTGTCATATCTGCTCTCACTACCACCCCCTGCAACAGCATTAGGTGTCTCTTACTCCTTACACTTCCCTCTGCTCCTTCTCTATCAGCCTCTTCACCTCAGATGCCTTGGACTTCAGAATTTGGAGTGCTGTTTACATAAAGAAAACTCACTCAAACCCAAAGCCCAAACCTCCTCTCTTCCCTGCTTTTGCCTTTACCCTCAGGATTTGCTCTCTGCTCTCAGAGGCTCCAACACAGGGAAACTATGCAAGGTGAAAGGAGGCTACCTGCAGCGTAGCAGCCGTTACGGTAGCAACTGAGAATGCTAGCTTTGGTGAAAAAGAGAAGACCATTTTGAACCTGAAGGTTGAATGTGAATAACAAAACGTCTGAACACTGGGCATGGGCACTAAAATTGTGAGAGATGGCAGTGGTATTAGCAGATACGTAATTATGAAGAGTAAATACGCAGAAGCAATACAAAATACTTATCTGGGTTAAAAATACTTATCTTCTTTATAAATGGAATGTATAACGTTACATAGATAGTGGACTCATTGGCATTACTATTTTATCAATCTCACATCTCTGATTTTTAAATGTGGCTTGTTAATTTGGGTGTGTAACTTCAAAGGGGTGTGAGTTTTAAAAGTTGAAAGATAAGCCACTTCTTAAAATTGGGCCCTTTTAACTTTTCATTTATTGGTAACCTAACATCCTAAGGTACTGACACTGTTAGCTGTCTCTTGGGCTAGCCTCTGGCTTTGTTAAACCACACATCAATTAGGGGCACTTGCTTCAATAAACAGTGAGCTTGCATGGAAAAAAGATAAATGTTTGTTTGTTGGCTTGCAATGAGAAAAGAAGTTTATGCTGATCTTTTCAAGAAAAAGCACCTGAGTGTAGCACTGACAACCACGATTGCCAGTCTTAGGAGGAGTGGCAGAGTCGTAGTAAGTCCTTTCTTATCGTGTTACATAGAAAAAGCTTTCTAAGCATTTTATGTTTGTGCTCTCCAAAGCTTTCGCAGGTTTACACGATCTAATAGTGTAACAACAGCTGTGCAAGCAGACCTGGATTTCCATGAGAACTTTGAAATAATCGACCCTCAAGAGGACAATACGTGTTCTGGACAAATAGCAAGGCAATTTTCCCGAGATGCAAGCACCTCTACCGTTAGCATACAAGGGTCAGGAAACCATTACCATGCATGTGCAGTGGATGATGACTTTGATACAGATTTTGATCCATCAATTTTACCTCCTCCTGACCCCTGGATTGACTCTATCACCGAAGATCCTCTGGAAGCTGTTCAAAGGTCAGTGTGCCCACGAGATGGCCACTGGTTTCTGAAGCTACTTCAAGCAGAGAGAGATCGTATGGAGGGCTGGTGCCAACAGATGGAGAGAGAAGAACGGGAAAACAACTTACCTGAGGACAGTAAGTAACTGGTACAATAATACTGCAGCTAGAAAAGGTATTTAATATAGGTCAAATTTACTCCAGTGAATTCTGTATTGTGCCCTTTCTTATTTAGCTAATGAAACTATGGTCATGATTCTCTAAAAGACTGTATGTATGTACATAATAATCCTTATTAAAGTTGACAGGGAATGCAAATGCTCGGCACTTCTGAAACTCCAGAGGTATTAGCTTTTGGGATTGCATAGATCAACAGTTAATTAGGAGATCATGGTTAGGGATCTTGTAGTATTAATGTTTCTTAACTCTTCCATTTCAAATCACTTCTCACAACCTCAGAATATAACAGAACAGATTCTAGTTACTTGTCATTAAATTCGTATTTTAGTTGCCTTTTTAGGTGGTGATTGGCTTCAGAGTCTTCAGATGCTTCTCCCAACTGAAAGAGATTTCAGTTGTGTGTCCCAGTTGTTCTCTCTCTCTTCCCCTCTCCAGCCTCCCTTCATCTCCCTTGCAGTTCTCACTCCTCTTTGATCTTCCCGGCAAAACAAGCTCTTCATATTCTGTGATAAAAAACACACACATGCAAACTACTTCTCAGTTGTCACTACTGCCAGAAGTATTACCCCACCTGTAAGGTAATGGGAATGTCTAGTAAGCTTTCATTAGCAAGCAGGGTTGGGTAGCTCATGTCTTATTCATTCACTCTAATTAGGGAAGAAGAGCTGAACATGTCATGGGCAAAACAGACTCAACTTGGGGAAAATTAATTTAATTTATTGCCAATCAAATCAGAGTAGGATAATAAGAACTAAAACCAAATCTTAAAACACTTTCCCCCCACCCCTCCCTTCTTCCCGGGCTCAACTTCGCTCCTGATTTTCTCTCCCTCCTCCCCTCAAGCAGCGCGGGGGGACGGGGAATGGGGGTTGTGGTCAGTTCATCACACGCTGTCTCTGCCGCTCCTTCCTCCTCAGGGGGAGGCCTCCTCACCCTCTGCCCTGCTCCAGCCTGGGGTCCCTCCCACGGGAGACAATCCTCCATGAGCTTCACCAACAGGAGTCCTTCCCATGGGCTGCAGTTCTT